GATTTTCCACAGATCTTACTCCCTGCTTAGAAATAACCTACCCTAATTCTGATTAGATTGTATATTTCCCAGCTGACCTCGATTTGTACAATGAATGAATGATTTTTTTTCAGTGGTTCTGGAGACAAACAAACATGTTGAGCTTTGGAATGCGTTCTGGACAACAGACTTTAAAAGCTTAAGAGGAAAAAAAGTCTAGTGGCACTGCTCATGTTTCAGTTTTCAATCCTGAGACAGTCCTGTCACTGTTCAGACTCTCTAAAAGCATGTTGTGCTCATCTATGACTCAATAACATTGAACTGTGAGGTAAATAATAGGGCTGTGTCACTCCCATTGAGAACGAAAAACTGAATCCACATGACTTTTTAAGCATGGCACGTGGAAACCTTATTAGAAACTGGTTTGGATACTATTACTATTTATGGCATACCGCAAGGCTCAGTACGTGGACCATTATTGTTTTTTTATGTTGTGTATATGCTGCCACTGAGTTATTTTTCCTTTTTATCCTGAAGATGGCCTTAATATGCAGAAATCCCAGTTTTGTCATGAAATATGAGTGTGAAATTAATTTCCGCCTAATAGCCTGTTCAGTTTCACTGCAATCAGGAAAGACACGAGCCACTAAAGTTACTTTTCACAAACAGATGGAAAAAAACCTTCCCTCTTGATCCAAGAAGCACTGGTTCAAAGCCAGTGAGCTGAGGCAAGGGCGTGCGGTGCAGCCAAAAGACTGCGCTTTTCTCACTGTCTTAAGAATGCCATGCATATTTCTAAAAGGTCCTTGACTTTCATTGCTTTTTCCTCTCTGGCACATCCAGACCTACCGGCCAGATGTCGGATGCTCTATGACGGTTCTGGAGCAGCATTCGAAGCAAGCTATAAGCCCTCAAAAACACTTTAAGAGTGTGTGTTTTGTCTTATTTTGTATTCCCAGCTCAAGACAGAGCTTGGGTTCTGCTCCAGCGGGCAGGCGTACCTAGCTAATCATCTCTGGACAGTGCCTGAATTAAGCATGAACTGGGAGGGAAAACCCCAGTGGGATGCAAAACATTCTTGCAATTTTTTATGCCTCAGCTTTCTCCATCAGAGTGAAAAATGAAATAGAGACCAGTTGCACAGGAAATCAAGGCCTTAGTCAGTAGCGCTCTTGTCCTCCCTTTGCTCTCATCTGCATTTGATTCTCTCTTTTACTATTTGATTTCATTTGAAGACACATTTATCTAAAAGTCACCACAAATATACACTTACACTCTTAAAAGTCGAGGTTCTAAATTGGAGTTGATAGTTTAACATTTTTGGAAACTTAAGATTTCAAGTTTCTTCACAGTGGAAAAATTTTCTTAAGATGATTTAAATGTTTTTAAAAAGGGTTCTTTGTGGAACCCTAATAGTTCTTCTATGACTGCCAAAAAAAATCTATGAAAAAACTTGTAGTTTTAGAAGTTTAATGATACACTAGTCTAGGCATGGGCTGGTACAAGATTCTGACAGTATGATAACCTTGGATAAAATCTTTGCCGTTTCACTCTATTGTGATTGCTGGTCTAAAATCTGTTCTTTTTGAATGTGTGGATAAAAAACAAAAAACTTTTTTCCCCTTTTAAACACAATATATTTTATTTTGAAAAACATTTAAAGTATTTTGGAGCAGTAAATATGTCAGGCTGAATAATTCAAATGAATCATTGATTTCTGCTGTCTTCATTAGTATCAAAAATTTTCTTTGCGATTTAAAATGCCATCATTGGATTTTTTTCTGCTGGAGATACTGTCCTAAAAAACGGGGAAAAAATGTAAAAAAAAAGACTTACATACACCTTAAGAACAGCATAGCAGAAAATTTTGGTGGTTTTAAAACCTTGACTTTTCCAAACCACGGTATAAGTCAACCCAGGCTCATTCTGAAAACGTACTTCTACAGTATGTAAATTTCTGGAGACCACCAAATACGTCCCAGGAGCTAGATTTTTTGTAGTTTTTGTTTACACTTTTTGTATGCTTTGTAAGATCTTAAATTTCTCTCACAAGTGCCATTCCTGCCTACTGTTCTCACGTAAATCCACCAGAGACCACTGTTGGCTGACTGAATAACTGAGTGATCAACTGACACACCCTCCTTCTTCCCCCTAAACCCAACCAATTGTATTGGTTGACCCGCCCACCCACTTCCCTAAACCCAACCAACTATTTTCAAAAGCAATCAAGAAAAAGAAAAACCCTGATGTGATTTTTACCACATTTTCAGATTTTACCACTTTCTCACCCAGTTATTTACTTGTTTATTTTATATTTGATACTTTCTGGAATCGTTCTCAACATCTCAAATCGCATTTCAAGTCTGCTGACGTACATGGCGAGCTAACTGGAAAACCGGTAATAGTAGAAAAGCTGTCCATACGAAAGTAATGGCATCATACCGCCCTGTAGCATTTATTTTTAAGATAAAATGCAGCCATCCGTACTTCTGGGAACATAATTCACAATTTCCAGAAATGTATATAGGGCTACGTTATCAGAATGGGCATATGTTGGTATTTTTGATGGGAAGTTTGGACCATTTTACTAACTCAGACCTTTTGAGTCTCGTTCAGTGAGGTGAACAAATCTTTTTTTAGAGTCATTTCATTCATTTTGTTCAATTTGCCTAAAATATTAGTAAAATGTTGCGAGTTGCTTTCAAACTCATCTACAACTACACCAAACATTAATCATAATACAAACAAGTCATAACTAGAATGCTATAAAAGAGAAAATAATCATTTATTGTTTGCCTGCTCTTTTGTTTATGATTAGCTCAGCTCACCACTTCTGACAGGTCTTCAAATTTGAGGGGTGCATTGAAGTCACACTTACAGCCCCATATGAGCTTAACCAGTTTACACAGTCCGAGCCGAAAGGAGGCATGATTTGTTCACCTTTGGAGTCTTCTGATTGTTGATGAGTTTGCTCATCACGTGACAGCATGTATAAAGATATGACTTAAACCCGAGGACTCGAGAGATGAACGAATCAACTCTTTTTCTGGCTCTAAATGCATAATATTGGCTTCTGTCTTTCAGGTGATGAAAAATTACTCAAACCAAGGACTCGAGAGATGAACGGATTAAATCTTTTTCTGGCTCTAACTGCATATTATTGACTTCTGTCTTTCACTTGATGAACAAACAACTTAAACTTGACAGAAGACTCGAAAGAGGAACTAATCTTCTACTCCACCTGCACAAATGTGCGCATGTGTGAATGAACGAATCACTCCCTGAGAGGACTCATCATTCTCGAGTCATTCAAAAGATTCGTGATGATGATTATCCAGAGTCATTGGTGAATCATTTTGGGCCAGTTGACAGAACTGCCACTCTTAAGAATTAGTTTTTTTATTGCTGTTTATGGTTCCGTCATGAATATTTAACAGTTATATAAGCATTTAATTCTATTATGGTTCTTTTATAAGTGGAAAACTATTCTTTAGATTGTGAAAACATTTTTAACACTATAAAAATATAATTTTATGATTTGAAATGTTACCCCTAGCCTTCATAACAGTTTCCAAATTTGTATGAATTTTTAGCAGAAAAAATTGAGCCTTCTAATCACACCATTGCTTGCAGCGAGACAGTGAGTAAGTGTGAATCTACAGGTCAGTAAGAGCCATATATATGCGTCATGCGTCAATGTTTTCAGTCTTTCAACAACAGGCCTCAGTTTCACCTCCACATTTGTTGTTCTGCTAAACAACATCTCAGCATCATTTTCTCATGCAACAGGCAATCTGCATCCAACAAATCCTTTGGCAGAGTCAGTGTGATGTTGGATGGGTACCCTTAATGTACTGTTTTGGCTGTGTATGTAGGCCAGCTGAAAGATTTCTGTTAAACCCAGACATAATGAGTTGTTTCTGAGGAATGAAAAAGAGAAGCCAGATATAAATAGATATAAACAGGCCTCAAAACGTCATTCAGATCAGGCTGCAGGACTGCTATGTGTGTGCTGAAGGTAAAAGACACTGAAAATGCATTCAGATACAACCAATAAATGAGTAGCAACTAATTTGATTTAAATCCAAACAAAGCAGATAAACATTATTATTAATTATGACATTGTTATTAACATGATAAAACAGATTAATATTTCACAGAGACAGCGATGGCAGACAAATTCCTTAAAGTTATAGAATTCTGTTCTGAATAACTCAAATTATGAACACATAAATAGTTTGATTAAAATAAACTATCATAAAAGAATACATTTTCTAATGTCAAATATTAAATGATTAAAATAACTTAAATTAATAATACATATTTACTTTTATTAAAACAACAACAATTTTAACAGACTAATACAAAATCTTAGATTTTTAAATACATATATATATATATATTAACATAATCACAATAAATATGTAATTTTAAAATATGCATGAAATATAAAAATTAAAAGCTGTTCTGAATTTTTTGTAACAAGTATTAAAACTCAAAATGTATTTTTATTTACAAATTTATGAGCTTGAAATACTTAAAATCTGAAGATCTTAATACAACAAATAAAACAACCAAAGCTTATTATAAATAAATGCAAATATTGTAAACAAAGACTATGGGGCTTTTTAATAACATGCTTCAATTTTTAAGTCTACATCTACAAGATGCAGAGCTGCCTCCTCTATTAAAGACAGCTGGCATGTTTTGCTTCTGTTTTTATGAGCTATTTGTTTGTGCAAAAGAGTACTAAAACATCCAGCTGTGATCCCCCTCAGCCCCCGTGCTTTTGATTCCACCTACAAAGCAGCACCAGAGCAGCCTGGAACTTTGTTGTTGTCATCAGTGAACACATATGTAGGCTCCTAATCAATCGCATATAGTTGTATGTTTCTATCCTGCAGCATCAAACAATACCCGTGCGTTCTTCGCGTTCTAAAACTCGTGGTTGGTTCTAGAATAACGTATTTGAAATTTTGCATTGTGACGTAGCATCGTTAGGATTGTTGACACGCACTTACCAACATCAGCATTGCAGAACGCCTGTTGAGGATGAACCGGGGAACAACTGCACGCTTCTGCGATCTCTCCCACCCGAAACAGTACCAGCACAACCAGTGTGCCAATACAGCTCCTGACGCTCTTCATTTTCGCCTCACTTCAGTATCTGACAGCAATAAAAGCAGGCAGGTAGACGGTCTTCTGCAATGTCAACAATGATCCGGATCTCTCACACAGCCCAAAAGTAACGTTACACCGTCCGCGATGCCCACACGCAGGGTATCAGTGTGACTGCTTGCCGTTAAATCCCTCAGAGACGAACGGGGCTTCTTGGTAATAAAGGAAGTCCACTGCTAGCTCTATGTTTAATGGTCTTTCCAGGCTTCTTTCTTTTCCACTGCCTTCTATGGGTGTGTTCTTCTCATGGAGAAACCAGGTTCATGCCTTAATACTGCGCGTGCGGACTCCTCCCTTCAAACCAGATTCAGCCAGAGGTGGGCGCTTGCTTCGTTGAGGGCTTCGAAAGATTTCTACACTCTTTCTGTCAGGACGGAGTTTTTGGACAAATATATAGCCTACTACACACTCAAGTATTTAATACAATCTACGCCGAAGGGATTTAGAGCACGTTACACTGTGTTCCGAAGAAAAACGAGCTGCTTTTCGGTATTTGTTTACATGTTAAATACACGTGTGCTTCTTGTGCATGTAACGTTATTATAATGTTGATGTACCTATCGAGTTCAGAACAAACGTGCAAAGTAACCACGGCGAACCGTTGTAACATTTAGTTCTGCTCTAACGTACTAACATATATTTTCATACAAATACTTTTTATTTGATTATTGTTTTGTTTATTTTCTATTAAATAACAATATACTGTTTATTCCTTATTATTGCTATTATTAGCATAATGACTAGTATTGCTTCTTCATGCTACTACTTAAAAAACATTAGGCTGCTGTTTACATTTTTCATTAGATAGCCTACTAATACTAGTCAGCTTAAATTTACAATGGCTAATTAGGCTATTACTTTATACAATGACTAATAAGTCTAAATAATAATGGCTATTATTGATTATTCATACTTAATAAACATCTAGACTGCTATTTACATACTACACTCATTCATTCATTTTCTTTTCGGCTTAGTCCCTTAATCGGGTTGCCACAGCGAAATGAACCACCAACTTATCTTATCCAGTACACATTTTATGCAGTGCCCTTCCAGCATCCTACCCAACACTGGGAAACACCCACACACTTTTGCACATACTCACATACACTACGGACAATTCAGCTTACCCAATTCACCTACACCTCATGTCTATGGGCTGTGGAGGAAACCGACGCGAACTCGAGGAGAACATGCAAACTCCAAACAGAAATGCCAACTGACCCAGCCAGGGTACATACTACAATGTAAAAAGTAATTTGTTAGGTTTACTTTAATGAATTATGCAGTCTCGCTGCTTTAATTCAATTAAGTAATCGTAACTTTGTCAAATTAAGTACTAATTACTAATGTAGAAAAAGTAATTCTTACTTACACTGAGTCACATTTACTTAATTCACAATTAAGTCATCTTAACTTTATTCATTCAATCAATCATTTTCTTTTCGGCTTAGTCCCTTTATTAACCAGGGTTTGCCACAGCATAATGAACCACCAACTTATCCAACATATGTTTTACACAGCAGATACCTTTCCAGCTGCAACCCATCACTGGGAATCACCCATACACTCTCATTCACATTCATACACTATGGACAATTTAGCTTACCCAATTCACATATAGTGCATATTTTTTGGACTGGGGGGGGGACTGGATCCCCCGGAGGAAACCCACGCAAACATGGGAAAAACATGCAAACTCCACACAGAAATGACTGAAAAGAAAACTCACAGAAAAGAAAGCTTATTCAGCGAAGACTCGAACCAACGATCTTCTTGTTATGAGGCAACAGTGCTAAACACTGTGTCACCTAAAAACCACAGGCGTCGATTAGTTCTAACTGTTATTTTATACAATGGCTAATTAGGCTATTATTTAATACAATGACTGATAAAAATGGCTATTATTTTTTTATTCATACAAGTTTACTAACTTTCAAAAAATAAATGAATAAATAAATAAACTACGAGCCTATAGTTCTTGTTTAATAGGTTCTAGTTCCCATTCATTAGATGCTAATACTTTTAAATTAGATAATATACACATATACAATCAGAGACACTAGTAATAACATTTTAGATACTATTCTTAATAGTTAGTAATTATTAGTATCTTATAAGTAAGTAATGTCTAATGATTTGATGTTAGTATCGAAGAAGTATGTACTATTGCATGAGAAAACGTATCTATTAAATGTATTGTCAGAAAAGTGGCTAATTCATGCTGCTTCATGCAATTTTATTTGTATGAAAAGGTATAATTTTTAGTAAAATGTTCCAATAAAATCATTCTAATTAATACGCTGGTACTACAGTCAATTTAATAGGTATTGATTTCTAATGAATCAGTATTAGTAGGCCATGTTATAAATAAGAACTTATATAATTAAAACGGTTCTTGTACCTAACAAATAAGCACAAACTAATGAACTGAAAAGATACCAGTACTCTATTGAAAAAATAAGTACTAGTAACATGAAAATAGATGCTATACGTCCATAAGTTTCATCAGTGATTTATTAATTAATAGTTTATTTATTGATGAGTTGTTGATTTGGTTTGGGTATTAGTTTTGTTTTGCCTGTATATGTATATTTATTTTACTCTGAAAGTCTAATCTAGTTTATTTCACTATTTAACTTGTTTAGTTCGAATCTATTTTCCACTAAATATTTAGTTATAAATATTTGTCATTCTAAATGTCATTTACTTGACTAAAATTGAACAAGTTCAGCAGTAAAGCAGAGTAAGTTTCCATCCATCTGTTTTTTAAAGTTTATATTGGATAAAAAGCACTGAATAGAAACACCAATATGTGTATTATTTAAAAAAAAGTTGCACAAACTTTTATGCACACATTTACCAGTTAAATTCCTCATTAAACAGAGCACTGATGTCTATCAGATCATCTCATATTGTATTAATAATTCTAAAAGACAACTCTAAAATTTAATAATATATCACAGTAGTTTCCTTGGAAGTGGTGATTTTATTATCTTGAACAGCTGGGGCAGAACATTGGTTTATTCATAAATGCAAAATTTTAATTCTGCGTATAATTACAATTTTAAACTTTGAATAGAAGCGGAAAATCAACCATTCACATGTGAATAAGAAAGATACTAGGGTTTAAACATAATGGAAACACATATTAACTGTCAGTGGTTGGACATATTCTCCAAACATTTAAGAATATTAATAATAATAAAATACATAAAAATTATATTAATAGTTATCCTATTTTTTGGTCTGGGAAAAGATGCTGTTGATAGAAATGATCAAACTTTCGGCAATAAAATGAACACCTGTCTCAATGATTATAGTTAATAAATCTAACTAGTGATTTAATACAGTCCATTTCTCAGACACAGCTGTTGCATGAATTCAACAGTCTTTATTCCGCATGACCTGTATTTATGATTTATGATGGTTTTTCATATTTCTGGAAGCATCATAAAGCAACATGAAACTATGTGCTACTGTAGTGCTACTCCTATTCTGTCAGTATAACAGAATATAATGTGTAAAGTAGGCTTTACTCTCTGCTGGGTGTTTTTTTAATCCACACTCTTTTGTTAAAACACCTTTTTACCCTTATTTTGAACCACAATCCCTCAATAAAAAAACAAAAAAACTAATTTCCTCATAATAATACAGGAAAGCACACCAGAGACGCTGAATCGGGAACTTTAGCTGCTATCGCATCTATAAGGAATTTGCTCTTGTAGTCATAAACCTACTGAAGTCTCTTTATTGTTTCTCTTCCCACTCAGAACAGCAGTAAAAAGCTCTCTTTGCTCCTGCGTCTGTGTCTGCAGCTGGCACACTCTCATTGTTTCCACTCTGACTAGAGGGAAAAAGCGAAAATCCACAATGTGCTGCTCTGAGAGAGAGAATGAAGTAAAATAAATAAATTAATGCAACGGTTGGAAAATCTCATGGCAAGTTTGTTGGCTATGATGACATCACCTCTTTGGCTGCGGCTGCGGCTGCGCAGAAGCATGTGGAGTCGTGGATTCAAAGTTGTTTTTGTTGCGTTTTTGGGCTTTTTGAAAATGTACATTTCTTTTTAGAAGATCATATTTACAAGAACAATAAGTTTTGTTATTTTATGTTATAAGAATAGTACAAGCAAATAAATAAATACATTTGCAGTGAACTTCACCCCTCAGGCCATCCCTGATGAACATTACCTTTTTCATTGAAGAAGATTTTTAGCTGAAACTGTGATGCATAAAACTCACTGATTCACTGTTATTGGTGATTCATAAAACTCACGTTAACATCTATCAGCACACTGTGAGTACAAAACAAAACAAACAGAATTACTACCCATGGCTCCTGATATTTTAATTTAACTAGTGGTCGACTGATATGGGTTTTTTAAAGGTCGATGCCAATACTGATATCTTGGAAGGCAGGGTGGCCAGTGGCTGATATTTAGCTGATGTAATTTATCACATTTTAATTCATAATTACATTAGAATTTATAAAAAATGTATTCATTGAAAATAATTTGTTTCCCTGTACTAGATTGCAGCTGGAAAGGCATCCGCTGTGTAAAACAAATGCTGGAAAAGTTGGCAGTTCATTCCGCTGTGGTGACCCCTGACAAATAAGGGACTAAACCGAAGGAAAATGAATGAATGAATGAAATTCAAACTTATTTAAAAAATACGTTTAAAGAAATTAGTATTTTTAATATGGTTGTATTAGTTAATGTTATTTAATGTATTGATTTTAGTTTATGCATTTAAGTAATTACATTTATTAAAGTATTTGTTCATGTTAGTTATTGTTAGTTAAGGAAAATACAGTTGTTCATTGTTAGTTCATGTTAACTCACAGTGCATTAACTACTGTTAACAAGCATTGACCTAGATGTTAATAATGCATTAGTAAATGTTGAATTATGATTAGTTAATGCCGTACAAGTATTGTTAATATGTAGTTCATTTTATGAAATGCATAAACTTATGAACCTTATTGTAAAGTTTGACCAAGTAATCATATTCATACTTTAAAGACAGTGGGTATCATGTGTACAGTATATACACATGGTTATATATGTGTATATATTTATATTTATGTGTGTATATATAGATTAAGTCTTTCATGAGTATACATATACTGTATGTACAGTTAAAGTCAGAATTATTAGCCTCCCTGAATTATTAGCCCCCTTGTTTA